CAAATCTTAGTACTACTGATTATTCAGGTATACCTATTAATCGCCCGACCTCTTATAATTGTTCTTTGACTGATTTGTAAAGAAATGAAACCGCCTAGCTCAATGAGTACAAGGGGAACAATGAAAAAACCGGCCAACAGATAATTCTGATGGAGTCGATTATTTACCCTTAGGGATTAGTACCCAAAAACCTACTGTCCTAGTGAGTGCTAAATGTTCTATTCGCAATAATCTCCTGAGTAATAATCCAATGGCTCTTAGAAATTAAATGAGGGCATGGATTTTTTTTTTCCTTTAGCGCAAAGGTGTCGGAGAAAAAAAGGGGTCTCTTACAATACGCAATTCCTGCAGTTAGAAATTCAATGCCGCTATCTCACAGCGGCCGATAACTATACCAATGCCAATCGGTGGTTGTCGTTGTCTTTCAACCTTTGTCTTTCGCCGTTCGTCGTTTTGTTGCTGTGACGTGGTAAGACGACTTTAGGGAATTGTTTCTGGAGGGTCTTTTTCCAAACTGGGTTAATACACGAATATCATAATCAAGGAGGAATGAGCCGTACTTAACTTTCTCGCAATGCATCGAGGAGGAGAGAGCAGTGGTGTAAGTGATTGCTGATTATGTCCCACAGGGTGAACTTTTATAGGGCCGTTCAGCAAGACAGAAAAAACGCCAACCTCCGGCAGAAAGCGGTGTTAACGCCATGGCGTCCTTTACGAAGCTCTGAGTTGCGGAATGAGGAAACTTCGACAGTGATTTTGATCATCCGCAAGCCTTTCAAAATTCCTTGGCATTTCGTCCTTGAAACCCCAGACCGTTAAGACAAACGAAGTATCCGACTGACAGACTGTCCTCAATTCGTGTTCGCATGTCATGGTCATTGAACGGTTATAAACGGTATATATTTTCCTGACTATACTTGTAAAATATATTTTAAAGACTCTTACTTCTAACAAGGAATCACACATGAAGTCTTCATATATATTCATTGATTTGCAACAATACAGCGGATTACACAAACAGTAAGAAAATAATCCTGCCATGAATATAATTTTAGGACCTCTAATGTTTCGATGATGGGAGGGAAATTTAAAAGTGAAAGACCGCTATCACTTAAGTCATTCCAAAGAAATTATTCAATACATTTTATTCTAACATTCAAAACCTGAATTTCCCTGTAACGCTAGTCGGTGAATACCACAAATCAAGTCAATATTCAAATTCATATTTTAACGACAATGATCTTTGCTTCTGAGATTACGAACGTTGTGATGTGGTCCTCCTTCACTCGCCTTCCATCTGCCTCTACCTTCTTTCCACCGTGCACTGTTATGCAATCATTTCAAGTTCTTCGATCATGATAAATCGGAAGAGCTTTGAAACATTACTTCCGGGGTTCAGATTTGGAGATGGTTTACGTTTTGTTTCAAAGGAAAACATTGTGACGCAAAATGAAATCCTTTTCCTGTCCATGAAGGCGTTGGCTTTCTCATTCCTTTCTATTATGAGTCTAGACCTCCAGAATTTTCTATTTGACAAACAACAGGACTCAAGTGTCCCATTTGAGCTGAGAATCTTCGAAGAACCTGGCAGTAACCCCCCCAGGAATGTGGCCGTTTTGAACGTTATTCGCGAACTGAACTTTGAAACTCAGACATCACATCGACTTACCATCATAGTCCAAGTAAGTCCTTCGTCATTAACCTTTTCCATTAGCATGAACATTCGCGAAACATTCCGAATCATAGTATGGCAGAAATTGCCAATGCGTTTAAATTGTAATATCGCGGCTTATAACAAATATATTTTCGTGGAACTTTCCCTTCGCATTCAGGAGTATGTTTCCGATTGCTAGAGTGTCATCGAAAAGTGTTCAGCCGAAACATGCAGTCAATAATTATAGAAAAGAAGTTGAACCTTATGAATGGCCAATGGAGTTCCTGTTTGCTGGTGAGTGGAGGAATAAAATCGAGGGCTGTCCTTTGTTATCAAGAATACGTCGAGCCCTTCTTCCGTTCAAACCTCTTTCATAGGGCTGGTTGTCCCTTGCATATGATTTTCATGTTATTACAAATGAATAATAGCTGAATAAATGCGTGTCAATCCAGAAAGTTTACCCAAAGTTTATTCTGATTTTTCTGCGGCTCAAGGATAGGTCCATTTCAAATGTCAGGCTTGCCATGCCTAAATTTATAAAATAAATGATGTTGAATGAAGCCAATTTTGCAGTTTTGTTCACTTTGAAATAAATGAAATGATGCTACATTCTCAGCAAATTGGCGAGATATGACTTAAGCAATCATTTGATTCATTCTAAGTCGATAGTATTTATTTTTATTACCTGCAGAATCTGACTGATGTCTAGGTGAATTCAGAAAGGACGTTGAGAAACCTCTAAATTGATAGTCATTGATTCATCTGCTATTAATTGGGAATAAACTTGCAATTGGGAATGAAAAAACCATCTGCAAGAGACGATTAACCCCATGAATGAATTGAAAAGGAAGAGGAATTCGGCGAGATCTGGATGACCAGGAGGGACAGTACTCGCGTGTTTTCTCCAATCTGGAAACAGCAGAAGCTCTTGTCCATTCTCAATGATTATCTTCATTTCAATATGTACGTATTACTTCTTCAGCTATACAAATCGAATGTTATTTTGGAAATCAGTAGCAAAAGTACTAATAAATGCAAAATGAATGTTTCGCAAAAATAGCCCCACATTGCTCGGATATTTTTTGTTGAATGTCGTTGATCATTTTTTGCCATACTCCGCATATTCGTTCACCTATAGGATCTTCAGGACGAGTATGGAAATGGTCCTCATTCAGAAAGCGCAACAATTACAGTCGAAGTAGAGGACATCCAGGATACCCCTCCACGGTTCTTCTATTTCGATTCCTTCGTCGACATCGAAGAAGACTACGGCAGCAACACTACCGTATGAGTTCTTCACCTACTCCTCCATTGCAACAATACAATGTCAATATTTGCATGGTTCTGGTACTATGATGAAGAGCAAACGAAAATAATTAGGTCAGCATAAATGAGCGGGAAACGGCGAAAAATAAGCAACAAAATAAGCACATTGTTCAAGCCAGAATAAATAAATCTTTTTATTTGCACCAATTTCATTTCAAGCCATGGACGCTAAATAAAAAACTTTGCAACTCTTGCGCATTCGTGTTAGTTCTAATTCCAGTTTCTGAGGCAAATATCCACATGGTGTTTCCAGGATATATAATTGAATTAATATCCCAGAACCTAACAAGGAATATATACATACTAGTGGCCTGCGGCCGCTACGCTGGCCGTCAAATAGGTGGACATTTGAATAGTCTATTGTGAGCATAACGTCTCCTTGGCAATCCTCTTTTCATCGCATTACCCATTCGGAATTGAACCGCTTCATTACATTTATACAGATGTAGCTTACAGTACACAGGGAGATTCTGTTCCTAAACACCATCACTATCATATTCCAGCTGAATCGTTCATTATGAACGGTTTAGCACGTTTTCATGAGACTCAAGACGACTTTGCTGATTTCTTCTCCCAAGCACATTTAATACTCTTGCATCACTGATTAGCTCATGGGCTATTAGCGTTAGCATATGATACAGACACCAATGATTCTGAAACAGTATGGACCATTCCCAAGAACTTGTTGGACGGCACAGAGGGAAGTTAGTGCATGTGCAGCACAATGCTAGCTACTAATTATCCACATTAGCACAAGTGAGCAACACTTTCAGAGCCTCAGAGTGAAGTGTGAGTTGCAGCAGGAGCATTTTTCCGTTGTGGCAGCAATGTGAAAGAAATGCCCTCTCCCTACAGCAAAATGTACAACATGACAGTGCTCGCTGTAACTGTAATTATCGAGATGACAGGAAGAGGCATGGCAAAATGTTCTGAGTTCCGTGGTGTAATAGCCCACCTGACCGGCAAGCAGGAGGTCTGGATTCAATTCCCAGCACCCCCGGCTTTCGACACCTGAGTGCTGCGTTTCTTGCATCAAGTTGCCCATTGGGCTGCATGGCTCTTCTATTCCTGAGCTCAGCATTCGCTGCCTCTTGCTGTTCAGCGTTATGCACTCTACGTGCAACTGTGTACTGTTTATCAGTCATTCTACCCATTGTGGCTAGCACCGATTTATGCAATTCCCACCGCAACTGCAGTGGCAAACGCTGTTTCCGCACCAGCACCAATCGTTTATTATCTGCAGCGGCTGCCTCATCGCCGTCCTATGGGACCTCTTTCAACATTTTTTTTTTCACGTTCAACCTCACCTCGCAAAAATCACCACCATTTTGATGGGAGGAGCGGCCCGTTTTCGCGACGTATGAAAGAAAGAACTTACGTTATTATTTTGATTTCATCAATCATGAGAACTCAAATAAATCGGTCATGAGTCTCATGAAAACGTGCTAAACCGTTCATAATGAACGATTCAGCTGGAATCAGCTGGAATATGATAGTGATGGTGTTTAGGAANACATGAAACGCAAACAGAAAACTATTGCATGGAAGCGATGTCCCGAACCGCCACGCCTGACCTAACGAAAAAAAAATTAATACAGAAAAAACACTTCAGCAAGGAATGCATTTAAATTGAGAACTTGCAGTCGATCAGTGAAAACGTGACACACATTCAGTTATTACCACCCTTTGACACAGCTAAGTATGAAGCCTATGGTTCAGACTGATAAAGCTCGATAGACCTGCCGCTAAAAGCGTTGGTTGGCAAAGCCTATGGTCTAGAATGGCATAGCTTCAAGGAGCTGGCTCTCTGAGGGGTGGATGGCCTGAAGTGACGTAGTCTCGTAGGCCTCGCGCGCTGGGGTGACAACCACAACCACCACAACTCTCGGGCTCTTCGAATGTATTAGATAGCCTGGAAAGGCGCCTTGTGGGCCTGGCGCATTCGGCCGTGGATGGCCTGGCCTACGACCCAGAATGGCATAGCATCGTAGGCCCGCGCGTTGGGGGTGACAGCCACGACCACGACCACCACCACAACATTTGACCTCTTCGAATTAAAGTATTAGATTCCTTGCATTCCATATCAAATCAACGCAAAAAAAAGAAAATTTGACCTAACCCCCTTCGATTTCCTTGAAATTTTCTGCACTTGTGACAGTCATTGAAAGATCATTCTATGCCGAATTGAAACTCTCTGCCTCAAGTACTTCCAGAGATGTAGCAATTTGGAAGCGGCAAAAAGTGATCAATTTTGGGTCAAGTCGTCACCGCTTCAGTGCAAATAACTTTGGTTCCAAACAGCAAAAAAACNTGAACGGTTTAGCACGTTTTCATGAGACTCAAGACGACTTTGCTGATTTCTTCTCCCAAGCACATTTAATACTCTTGCATTACTGATTAGCTCATGGGCTATTAGCGTTAGCATATGATACAGACACCAATGATTCTGAAACAGTATGGGCCATTCCCAAGAACTTGTTGGACGGCACAGAGGGAAGTTAGTGCATGTGCAGCACAATGCTAGCTACTAATTATCCACATTAGCACAAGTGAGCAACACTTTCAGAGCCTCAGAGTGAAGTGTGAGTTGCAGCAGGAGCATTTTTCCGTTGTGGCAGCAATGTGAAAGAAATGCCCTCTCCCTACAGCAAAATGTACAACATGACAGTGCTCGCTGTAACTGTAATTATCGAGATGACAGGAAGAGGCATGGCAAAATGTTCTGAGTTCCGTGGTGTAATAGCCCACCTGACCGGCAAGCAGGAGGTCTGGATTCAATTCCCAGCACCCCCGGCTTTCGACACCTGAGTGCTGCGTTTCTTGCATCAAGTTGCCCATTGGGCTGCATGGCTCTCCTATTCCTGAGCTCAGCATTCGCTGCCTCTTGCTGTTCAGCGTTATGCACTCTACGTGCAACTGTGTACTGTTTATCAGTCATTCTAGCCATTGTGGCTAGCACCGATTTATGCAATTCCCACCGCAACTGCAGTGGCAAACGCTGTTTCCGCACCAGCACCAATCGTTTATTATCTGCAGCGGCTGCCTCATCGCCGTCCTATGGGACCTCTTTCAACATTTTTTTTTTCACGTTCAACCTCACCTCGCAAAAATCACCACCATTTTGATGGGAGGAGCGGCCCGTTTTCGCGACGTATGAAAGAAAGAACTTACGTTATTATTTTGATTTCATCAATCATGAGAACTCAAATAAATCGGTCATGACATGAAACGCAAACAGAAAACTATTGCATGGAAGCGATGTCCCGAACCGCCACGCCTGACCTAACGGAAAAAATATTAATACAGAAAAAACACTTCAGCAAAGAATGCATTTAAATTGAGAACTTGCAGTCGATCAGTGAAAACGTGACACACATTCAGTTATTACCACCCTTTGACACAGCTAAGTATGAAGCCTATGGTTCAGACTGATAAAGCTCGATAGACCTGGCGCTAAAAGCGTTGGTTGGCAAAGCCTATGGTCTAGAATGGCATAGCCTCAAGGAGCTGGCTCTCTGAGGGGTGGATGGCCTGAAGTGACTGAAGCCTATGGCCTGAAGTGACGTAGTCTCGTAGGGCCTCGCGCGCTGGGGTGACAACCACAACCACCACAACTCTCGGGCTCTTCGAATTAAAGTATTAGATAGCCTGGAAAGGCGCCTTGTGGGCCTGGCGCTTTCGGCCGTGGATGGCCTGGCCTACGACCCAGAATGGCATAGCATCGTAGGCCTGCGCGTTGGGGGTGACAGCCACGACCACGACCACCACCACAACATTTGACCTCTTCGAATTAAAGTATTAGATTCCTTGCATTCCATATCAAATCAACGCAAAAAAAAGACAATTTGACCTAACCCCCTTCGATTTCCATGAAATGTTCTGCACTTGTGACAGTCATTGAAAGATCATTCTATGCCGAATTGAAACTCTCTGCCTCAAGTACTTCCAGAGATGTAGCAATTTGGAAGCGGCAAAAAGTGATCAATTTTGGGTCAAGTCGTCACCGCTTCAGTGCAAATAACTTTGGTTCCAATCAGCAAAAAAACCTGATGTTGGTGTCATTTAAAATGGTTCTTCATGTCCTTTCAAGCAATATGCTACTCATGGACTTTCAATAAAAAACAAAAGTCAATGGTCCTAGGATCTGACCTTTGACCATTAATTACAAAAAAGTGGTCATTTTTATTTCCTTGGAAAAAATATCATACTAATAAATATAGTACTACATAGCTACATAGGCTTACATATCAGCTTTGTTGATTAGAACAAAAGGTATACGCTCTGAAGCAGTGACGACTTCCCACCCCCCCGATGCCCCCTACAAGTTCAGCACATATGATAATCGGAGGGTGTGAGGTAAATGGCTGTGTTGATTTGACATGGAATGACCCTATTGCAGCAGGAAGCAGTCCGTAATAAGATAATACAGGGTGTCCATAAAAGAATGCAACAGTTTAAAAAATTAATAACTCAGTAAATAATGGATGAAATGCCGTAATTTCTGCATCAGAATGAAGAGGAAGACTAGGAGTTTATTTACAAACCTTAATTAGTCTCGATGTGAGCACTATTCACAGCTCGACAGACATCAAAGTGACGCTCTACCTCTCCCCATGTCCTGTCAAGCATTTCTAGTGTGATGGTTACTGTTGCTGAGACGATTCTCTCTCGCAGATGGTCCAGGTCGCGGATTTTTTTTTGCGTAGAATGTAGATGTAGATGTTTTTCATGAATGTAGATGTTTTTCACATATCCCAGCAAGAAAAAATCCAGCGGAGTTAAGTCTGGACTTCTTGGAGGCCAGGCGATTGGTCCACCTCGTCCAATCCACCGATTTGAAAATCTCTCATTCAGAGAGTACCGTACACATCTGGAGAAGTGGGGCGGAGCGCCATCTTCTTGGAAAACGATGGCACTTCGAGTTTCTTGTTCGATGTCATCGACTTGGGGGAAGACACTGTTCTAACAAATCAAGCTAATTATCCACGGCGATCGTGTTTTCCGCTGAAAATTATACTGAACTGTAATGAATGACTTAGTCTCCGCATACCAAAGCACGCATTGAGCCTTCTGCTGAACGGTGGTCATTGTATTGATGGGGGTGAGGCGCGCGCCAAAATAGGCACCAATTAGGAAATTCCCTTGCGCGCGCATCTCGAGCTGCCAGCGACATCTATAACGGGATATAAATAAACTCCCTGTCATCCCCTTCATTTCGATGCAAAGATCACTGCGTTTCATCAATTACTTATCTAGTTATTAATTTTTGAAACTGTTGCATTCTTTTATGGGCACCCTGTATATAACGCATGAAACAAAATCGCAGAAGCGAAATCTAGCAGCTACAGACAATAATCAGGCATTTATCATGTAAATTAGTGTTTTAAGTTTCATATCATGTTACTGATTCTTTGCATGAATCCTGAAGCAATAATGCTTATCATTAAATAAATTAGGTGCTTCCACAAAAGTCTCATCCTCATGGAGGTCATTTAAACAGCAGTACGATGGTCTATCAAAAAGTTCTCGGAATGGCCTTCATACAAGTGAACTATGCACGGAATTTAAGTTTCAGAATGATTCCCTTCGAAATAATTCCCTCATCTTGTGATAAACTCCTTTTTAAGTTTACAAAGCGTTTGGAACACTGGTTGTATTCCTTTCTGGCAACTTCCTTTAACGCTTTGGTCGCAGCTGACAGGAGAGCGTATTTGTCGCTGAGGCGGCAGCATTTCGGAACGAAATTCTGTCTGAGAAACAGAGTATTCCTTCTAATTTTCGTGTGTGCTACGCGAGAGATGTCGTGGAAGGCGGAAGTCCGTTGACGATGACAAACTCAGTGGACGGTCATGGAAAAGCCTTAATGAGGAACCTGTCCTGGGTCTTGTCCTGAGCTTGTCCGTACATTGAAGCAGTACCATGACCATGTCACGGAATTTCTAACCAATCGTCGTGCAATATTACCCGCACATCTTCCGCGCTCATCGGACCTCGCATCTTCACATCTTACGCTGCTTTCACAGGATGAAATTCCTTCTGAAATCCTGCCGCTTCGACGGGACAGACTTTCTCCAGTAATCTGCGACCAGCGCGTTGAAGGGAGTTACCAAAAAACGGATAAAACCAATGTTCCAAGCGCTTCGTAAACATTGGGAGGAGTCCATCACACGGCAAGGGAACAATAACGAAGAGAATCATACCGAAACCTAACTTCCGTGCATAGTTCACTCGTATGAATGCATTCCGGGGATTTCTTGCTTGGCCTTTTTTTTGTCCCATTCCAAATTGCTTCCAGAAAGGAATTTCACCTTAGATCAGGATGCAGAATACGTTCTGTTAAATTAAGATCGAAAAATGCTGATAATTGCAATAAGACTCATTCCAAAGCAAAAGCTGTTTAAATTCATGAATTAGATTTAAAATGAAGTAGAAGGCAAGAAATGGATATATCGTTTTTAATCTCCAGGACAGCTTCTACATCAGAATCCAGATCGTAAGGGGCTTATTTTGTGAATTTTGCTAGTTTTAAAGAATTTTCCAATTTTTTTCTCAAATTATTAATTATTAATATGCTCATGCAGTGATCATAATGCCATTAGTCGTGCAAGGATGACCATGCAATGAGGATTCATACCGTAGATGATGTGATCCACACCAAATAGATTCTTTGTACATCCTGAAATTTTATATATTCCAAGGATATCTGAGCGAAAAGCATACTGCGTGTTCCGTAAGTTTCTGACCCACCTATAGGAAATGTGGTTTAATGCATTGTCAGCCTATGTGAAAACATTCCCCTTATATACATGGGCTACAGGAAGATGCTGGTGATCGGCTCAGGCCAACAAAAAAGCTGTGTTGATGCAACACCTGCCACACATTTGGCTTTGCATTCTGCTTCGTCAAAGAGAGTAAGGTAATGATATAGAAGAAGTATAGTTACCAAGGAACTGTCCGGACCTGAACACCTGGAAAACCAATGTCACAGGATCTAGCAGAGTGCTATGCGTCAGCCCCACCCCTAATTTGGTGTCAATCAATACCGGGATTCTAAGTGGAGTGAGAAACCAATGTGACTGATGTCATCCGTCGATTGATTGTGGGTTTTCGAACGCTAATCCGAAGTTCCTCGTGGTCCATGGAAGCCATATCAAATATTGATGTAGGAGTTGCAACCTGGGATATTCTTGGTCATGTGGAGTGCAATTAAATCAATATATTTACATTAACCTCGTCTCTATCTTTATTTTAGTGGGTTCTGACCCACTAAACCTTCGGAACACACTGTATATAACATAGTCACTTTAAAAAATGTTTTACTTATACCCATCACCTAGGATGAGGTGGTAGCGAATTTCTTGGCAAGTGACGGGGACACTACACCGGAAATTGCACGCAATATCATCTACTCCATCTCCGGAGGTGAGCTTCCACTTCAAGTTTCCACTTTAAAAATTCCCAGATGAGAGAATTCATTTCGATGCAAATATGCCTTCCTCTAGGAAATGGAGAAGGATACTTCAAGATAGACCAGCCTACAGATGGTAGTGACACCGCAAAGCTGAGGAGGGCAAAGACAGTTGACTCCGAAGCTCCCAACACCACCTTCATCACTCTCAATATCACGGTGTGGGCGAAGAGTGAGAGACTCACTCTGTTCTCATCATGGGGCAGGGGAAAACGCACATAATAGCGAAATATGCAATCCTAGTAATAAGTATCATTTGACAATGGCATATATGAATAATTATCTGCCATTCCCATAGGTGCTATGGGGAAATGGTAGATATTGCGATCGGTCTGTCATTTTTTCCCCCATTCCGTATGCTTGTAGTATCCATAGCAACCAGACGACACGACCTGCCGTGCACGCGCCGCCTTCCCGCTTGGGTCGAGGTATCTATCTTCCACTGAAACATCCATTTCCCTGCCAGTCCGTTGACGGATTCATAGTAGTCTATGGGAGAGAGCGGCTACTCGTTGTCGCGTAGACAGTGTTGCTGGGCGTTTTCATGAATAACCCCATCTGATATTCTACACTTCATACTTACCTCCCATCTCCACGCGACGCGGACGCGCGAACCATCATGAACTTGCTTATTTGTCCGGGCCTTTTCATATGCCATACCAATCAGAGCGATTAGTTATTTCAAGCTGGGATGGCTAGGATGCCATGAATATACATAATTATTCCAGTGGTACAGAGGCCAGGCCTATGGCAGATTTGCACCTATACTGGTACTCTCAAGTTCCTCATGTCATTACCCCGATTGGTGCTAATCACCAATAGCGGCGAAATCATTACTCAATTTACTCTTTCCTCTTTCTAGATTTTTCAAGTATGTTGTGTGAATGGCCACCTATGACTACTGCTTCGTTGGTTATACGTTTCAGGCGACAGAATTATTCGAAAATGACACGGAAACAGATCAGTCCACATCGCAGACCTGCGTGGTATCTGTCGCTGACATCGACGACAACGACCCGATGTTCAACTTTGATCATTTCACGAGTGAGGTGGATGAGGACATCTCCTATGGGGTTCCCCTTTCTTTCAAGTCACCTGGCGGAGAAGAAACATTCATCAATGTGACAGATGCGGACGCTGTAAGTGCTTTCAACGGCAATAGGAAAAATTAGGGTTGTCTTGATGCATCCATCGATGAATGGATGTCATCTTCGATAGTTGGAGGCATGGTAGGTTTCATTACTCTTTGCGAAGGTCATACATTCACCCTGCACTCCCGACAACAAGCATGAGATAATACCTCGTAGAAGCCGGATAGAGGTCCACGCTCCGATCGCGGTGAGAAAAGATGGAATCCTCCCGCCCCCCCCCCCCCAACCCGATGCATCGATACACTATCGATAGTTCAGGTCGATGCATCGATGTTTTGAAAACTGCTATTGTGACAGCTCTGGTTATAATGTGAAGGTTATTCATAGTGCACAGGAGAGGTAAGGTATCAACATTCTGTCCAATTTTGAGTTGGCTCACCATCAAAAGCCTTAATAGACAATAGTTATATCTTTTCATCCGCTGCTTTGCGAGCACAAGGTGACTCCTACAGCTCGAACTACATAGAAAGTCTTATATTTTGGTGTAAAGAACCTGGGAGAAACAGATAATTCTCATGCCGTTCTCTGCGTGCCCACCGTTTTGGCAAGAAATGGGAAAACACAGACTTGCTTTTAAGTTTTGCACATGAATATGTATTTGGAATAACTTGGATAATGTCCATGATATACTGTATATAAGGGTTTTTCGTATTTAAACGCAACATAGGAAATATTTGCCGCCTGTAGGTGGACTTCAGCGAACGCTATAAGGCCACCGAGTTGCATATTTGCAAGGAAACACACCTGAGTTAGGTTCCATCCTTCCAGATATGCAACCCGTTGAGCTGAAAGGCACGCCCTGAACTCCACAAACAAGCGGCAGAAACTTCCCTATGTTCCGTTTAAATACGAACACCCTGTATTTGGCTTGCGTATTCAAAATTGAAATTTCAGGGATTTAAAAAGAGTATACATCTGTTTCTGGATCAGAAAAACTGGAAGTCATTAAATCCATAGTTTTCTCTTGATGACTAGAGTGTTTTGTGTATGTTTTGCTGATGCATACTATGGGACAAACCATATAAAATAATTTTCTGTCATAGGAAGCAGAGTATGCATTGGATGCGGACGTCTTGCATTTGCTGCGAAAGATAATACGACTTGAGGAATAAGTGATTAGAAGTGGAACACTTGCGTCAGAAATTGAATCCGCTATTATTACTGACTACTGAAAGGCAGGCTCTACTTTTTCCCTAAAGTGAATCTCTCTCTCTCCATCCTTTCCATCGAGGAGAAAAAGCCAAAGTGAAAGGATTACTCAAAAGTCACGCTTTGGCATTTCTTAGTAATTTACGTCGTGATAGGAGAACTATGTATCCAAGATTTTATTCCCAGCACTGTTTATACAAATATTCACATGTGACGACGCGTATAAGAACCATGAGTTCCACTTCGCAATGCTTTATACCAGAATTGCTTTAGTTTGAGCTTCTTAAAGAGCGATTTTGCTACATGCTTAATGAAGATGAATCTCTCTGAGTGCAATTCTGAATACGAGGGACGTACCGAAAGTAATGAGTTTTTTATTTATTCCAGTAGAACAGCTTTCCGGACAAGGGTGAGATCTTATTCACACAAAATATTGTTTCCGCCACTGTTAGACATAGGGAATTTCATTGTTTATGACCAGGTGGCAGCAAATTAACCATTGAAAATGGCGCCTACTGTGGATGGTGTATTGAAGGAAAAAGTTTTGATGAAGTTCCTCACAGAAGATTATGTAACCCCTGAAAGCATTCATGTGCGACTGCAGAATGTTTATGAGGAGTCTAACAACAGTTATGCAAGTATGAAACTGTGAGTTCTGCATTTCAACAATGCAAACAACGACATCGAAGAAAAACCCATGTTCAGGCAGGCCATCCAGCGTTGGCACCTGATGGCAAAACGCATGTTGATGAACTGATCCGAAATTATCGTCGACTGACTGTTACCCGATAAATGATCGTCACGTAACAGTCACGAAGGAGGGCGTCGTGTAACAGCCGTTTTGCTATCAAGGGTAACAGCGCTGGATTGCCTGCCTGAACGTTTGGTGCGTTCGATGTCATTGCTTTCACCGTTGAGGGAAACCCACAGTTCACGCTTGCATAACTGTTGCTAGATTCATTATACACATTCTGTAGTCACACATGAACGTTTTCAGGGGTTTCATGTCCTTTTGTAAGGAACTCTTATCAGAGCGTTTTGCTTTAATACATCATCCATAGTAGGCACCACTTTCAATGGTTAATTTGCTGCCACCTAGATATGAAAAATTTAATTTCCAATCTCCATCAGAGTCAGAAACAATACTGTGTGTACAGTATTTTATGTGAATACTATTTCAGGCTTGTCCGATTAATGAATTTCCTATAATGAATTGGAGCTCATTAGTTTCGGTACGCCACTCTCATTTCCTTTTCTTACAAACTTAACCTATTCCACTTTCAATTTTTAAGATTGCAGTTGAGGACGTGAATGGTATAGCGAAAAACACGGCCACGGTAACAGTGAAGGTAAACCCAAAGAACGACAATTTTCCCCAGTGGAGTGATCCGCCTTATGATGGGGACCCCGTCGTAAATGAGAACGCACCAAGTGGAACTGAAATCCTCACGCTGAAAGCCACGGATGCCGACAGAGGTTCGATTTCACTTTTCCCACACATGGCCTTCATGGTTTATGATGAAACCGTTCTAAATGCAAAATGGTTTCCTTTATTCGAGCTTCTTGATGTCACTATTGCATAATTACTTCCTCACAATTTTTAGAGAAATACTGTTTCGTGCATAGCTCCCTCTCGATATCTTCTCTTGAAAGTTATCCTGATGTCTATATCTTTCCACAGAGAATGGGGACAATCTGTGGTATTACTTGTCTGATCGTTCATTCACCGGCAAGGAGTTGTTCAGCGTAGATTTGGAAACTGGGGAATTGTCCGTGGCAGATGGTGCTAATGTGGACTGGGAGACATTTGGAACCAATCTCATCATCTACGTCGTTGCTTCAGATGAAGCTGATGACCCATTAGGTAGAACATCCTAAGCCCTTTTTCCATTACATTTGCAACAAATTTATTTCCGTCCACTGAGTTCGTTAACTTCAACGGATACCTGCAATTGGCGAAATCTCTTCTGCACCTCACTCTTACAAGGATAGGAGATTAAGAGGGCCGGAATCTCTTGAAGTTGGCAAACGCTGTGAACGACCATCGAAGAGCCTTAATAAGGACACCCAGTAGACACTTTCTCAGCTTGTTCACAGTGATCACTGGTAATCAATCAGTACCATGGCAGTGCCATGGATTTGTGGCCAATCGTGGGGTGACGTTGTTCCCTCATCATCCCTACTCAACGGACTTCGGGCTTTCTGACTTCACGCTTTTCTTATTATGAAATTATTTCTGGAAGATCGTCGCTTCGAAGGCACAGACGGTCCCCCGTCAGTTGTGGCGAATGCAATGAAAGAAGTTGCCTAGAATGAGTCGCAGCCTGTGTTCCAAGCTCTTTAAAAACGGTGGGAAAACTGTATCGTGAGTGAAGGGAAATATTTCAAAGGCAATCCAACTGAAACCTAACTTTTACATATACCCTGTAGTTTACGCGCATGAAGGCCTTTTCTGGAACTTTTTGATAGGCCTACGTGTAGTTGGTGGTAAATATCGCCATTTTAGGCATTTTTTAAATGAATCATTCCACCTTACCTGAGAATGACTTCTACCATAGTAAACCAGGAAACTTCTTTTTTTCCTTCGGTCTTCAATGCCGTCCTAATACGCATTTCAGGTTCCCACAAGCAAGGGTGACTTGATTTCAAGAATGAGGAAGTGCTTACCACTATCATTAAGTTCCGCATCTCTCCCTTCAATTTTCTGTGATCATACATCTGCATGTGATATGACCATATGAGGCAGTCAAATCTAGTTTGGTTGTCTTCAATTCTCTGCAGAATGGGTTTCTTCTACAAACGATGTCGATAAGTATCCGGCACATTATTATACGTCGCATCTCATGTATGTTGTCTTGAAAGACAATCTAGCTCACTGGTCTACTCTCATTTCCAAAGGCAAATGTTAGCATTGCTGTATCCTTGAATAGCGAATTCTGTATCTTAAGAACTTAATCAAACATTTTCAAAAAAGAAACTGGAGACATGATCAGCGTAAATGTAAAATGTTGATTCCCATGGCTTCCTATGCTCTCCTCATAATAGATTCTTCGAAGCATATTTGCGAAGCATATTTTAATTATATTGGCAGGCATCATGCTTGGAAAGGTACATATGCAGTACCCAAGAGGAAAAAAAAGACGATTTTCCTGAAAGTGGCGAAAACTCGATGAGCCCGAAGTTTCGAAATACTTTTTATGGCAGTAAATCCGTTTTCATACAGACCCATTGGTTTTCTCAGAAGGATAATACAACGCATATCCTGTCATGTACGGATTTCCCTGTTAATTTAAATGCTTCCTTGGTTTTTTCTCAATCCAGTGAGCCACCGGAACGAGACCAGCTTTGACATCACAATCCTGGACGTGAATGATAATCCTCCACAATTCTCTAATATCGAAGAAATCTTCGGGAGCGAGAATACTAATGCGGTAATGAGCATAGATAAGATGCCGATACGACAGTCAAGCACAATGCGTTATGATTATTAAGCCTGTTTGCCATGGTATGACCAGGGAGAGACCCTGGTGGGGTCGGTGAGGGTAAGCGATTTGGACCAACCGGGGACGAGCAACACAGATTTAGAGCCCGAAATCGTGAGGATAGAATGCATGTTGGACTGTGCAATTCCTGGTGACGCCACCGGTTTGGTGGAGTTGATGATGGAGCAAACCAGTGACATCATTATAACATACATCATCAGGTTCAATGCCGACATGGACTTCGCTGAACGACGTGGTCAATACGAGGTGGAAGTTACGGTACGCCCTTTAAATGCCTTCAGGTGGGAAGAAACTAGGTTTCAAGTCACATAGTAATACCTACTTCTATTTGTTTATCTATACGACTCGAAGGGGTAAATTCACTTTCCACAACTACCTAGTATAATGGATATTTAAAATATCCCAATGAAAAGCTTCCCCTTACTTTGAATGATTTTCAGTTATTCGGAATATCCTTCGCTGGTCGAAGTGTAGGGAAACAAGTTATAATTCTCGTACATTCCCAAATGATAAAAAATGCAATGATTAAACATTTTTGGAAATATTTCATTCGGCGAAAGGTTTCTGACAAGGGAGACCCGATGTTGAGCACTACAGAGATCATCATTCTACACATAGTAGACCGGAATGACGAGTACTTTGCATGGTCGGTGGAGCACGGATACATCTTCCCAGTAGAGGAGGTAATGATCGCTTCCCTCCGGGGATCACTAAATAAGATCCGAAATGCGAAGATGCTGAATGATTCATTCGTGTTGCAGAGGTTCCAGGTGGGTTCAGACATCATCAACAGCAATACGGGCGCTGAGTTCTACAAGAAGACCAAGGAAGACCGCATTTGAGACAATGCTACAACTGTTGTCAGCCTCGCCGATGACACTAATAGTTGTCTCAGGCATGCGTAAGCATATGTAAAAAATGACTGGAGTATGCCGAAGATCTATGGGTGTACTTTAATGAGGCCAAGAAAAAAACTCCAGAATTCGCGTGGTTTACTGTAGGAAAAGGAAAAAAATTGGTAGATGCATAATTATGTTTACAAGTATACATATTGCATAATTATGCATTAGCATGCGTTTTAAGCAATAAACCAAGGAGCAACGATTGTCATTCTAGGGGAAAAAGTTCCGAGTTCAACATGAAAATATCTGTGGATTTTTCATCAAAGCAAGAAGTCGAGCACTTTTTTAGTTTCAGACCATAGTGTAAGGAAGGATATCTTCACATGAGGATAAATTGGTCAACATTCCCTCCCCAATATATCTCCAGAGATGCCTCGTATCGTACATCGTATGTTTCCCGAGTCATAAGGATCTATCTATGTAGCCTTGAAAACAAGGCTACAAGGCTACATTTCTTGTTTCTCAGGAAAAATATTCAATGTAAGCTCTCGCCCTCCATCAACTATCGCAATCCAAGTAATATATGCTTTCTGGAGAGGTACGTATTAGTAAACGCAACAACTTTCACCATCTCATCTTCCGCGATGGGTTCAAAAATGGTCACCAAGGTCAGGTGACCTATATAACTGAATCCATGAGAGAGAAGGAAAAAGAAATTGGCATGTTTCAAGCATCGTGGATTCCAAATAGGACTGTCTTTAAAGAGTATGAATGAAGTGAAGGGGAAAAGGTGCTTGGCTGGCTTTGCCACTTCTAGGACCTGTAACAGAAAATGACTCGCCATTCGGAAGCTGTAGCTTTGATCTTCTCGTACCAAAATGCCCTAAATTATGCAGACAGTGATCCAATTGGCTGCTGAGGAATAGTACAGGGTGGTCCGCTTAAATTGGAAATTCAGGGAATTTGGGATGTCTCGTTCCAGTACTCATCAATGAAGCACGGGTTCAACATGATTTTTTTACCCCTAGATTCAACTGTTCATTAGCGACAATGATCACTCAAAATGACCGCCATCGGCCTCGATCACGGCTTCGATTCTCGATCGGAAGCGGTTGCAGGCGTTGATGAGGTGTTGCCGGTCGGTATTGGCGCACACGTCGACAATGGCGGCACGCAGAGAGTCAACGCTGTTGTGTGCGCGCTTGTTAGACTCTCGCTCGATTACGCCCCAGCAGTAGTAATCGAGCGGATTCAAATCCGGCGAGGACGGCGGCCAAAACTCCTTCGACCAGAACATGTCCAGGTGTTCGTCACACCAGTTCTGGACGATGCAGCTGTTGTGAGCCGGCGCGCCATCCTGCTGGAAGACATACGGCCGGTCGGCGGCCACCTGGGTGATCCACGGATGCACCACCGTCTGCAGGACTTCCAGGTACACCTGACTGGTGATCGTCTGGCCAACGTTTAGCTGGGCGGCCAGATTTCGCATCGAAGTGCTCGGATCGGCGTCGACGAGCTCTTGCAGCTGCTTGATGAAGTCGGCATTGCGCTTTCGGCACTCGGATCGATCGTGCTTCTTGCGGAGAGACGTTGCCGATCGATCTTCTTCGTCTTCGGCAGCTTTGAAGTCGGCCGCGACTCGATAGACGGTCAACTTCGGCATCTTCGTGAACTCGATGATTTCATTCGGCGTGCGGCCCGCACGAAGGCAGGTGATGATGGTGGCACGCCGCTCTTGTTCCACCGACATTTTCAACTTTGGTTCTGCAAATGGACGATATGCGCAGGTTGCAATGTTAATGTTAGGTAAATACATATTAATACTAATAACCCTTACGAAAATGTATTATAGGAATCTCATAGGAATCCTATAGGAAACTAAAGGAATCCAATAGGATCCTATATGCTTCATAAAGTTCAGTTTGGAACCTATAGAGTTTCCTATTGAACCTATAGATCCCCCTATAGAACCTATAGTGTTCCCTATACCGTTTAAATCGCTCGCTTTAAATCGGTCCGCTTAAATTGGGACTGAATTTAAACTTGCACAGCTCCCTGATTATCAAAGCACGAACCTTCATACTGTAGGTATATTTTCGGCACTCTGTGCTGTGTCCATTTGCAGAACCAAAGTTGAAAATGTCGGTGGAACAAGAGCGGCGTGCCACCATCATCACCTGCCTTCGTGCGGGCCGCACGCCGAATGAAATCATCGAGTTCACGAAGAT